AAGTGTAACACCACTTTTTAAAAGGGACATTTCAGTTAATGGGGTTGTGTGGAATGGTTTCAATAGTCAGTATCCTGTCAACATACAGCGGGTAAAATAAGTATTGAACTTGTCACCATTTTTCTCATTAAATATATTACTAGAGGTGCCAATGACATGAATTTTTCACCAGATGTCGGTAACAACCCAAGTGATCCATACATACAAAGAAATCAAACCATAAATGTCCAGAAATGAAGTTATTTGTAATAATGTGGAATGGCACAGGGAAAAAGTATTGAACACATGAAGAAAGGGAGGTGTAAAAAGGCATGGAAAGCCAAGACACCAGCTGAACTCTCTCAGTAATTAGAAAACAAGCCTGCCCCTTGTCAGTGCAAATTAATATCAGCTGGTTCAGTCCCAAATGATGGCCAGGTAACACACAAGAACCATCTGATGATGGGTAAAAGTAAAGAGCTCTCTCAAGACCTTCACAACCTTATTGTTGCAAAGCATAATGATGGCATCGATTACAGAAGAATGTCTAAACTTCTGAAGGTTCCAGTGAGCACTGTTGGGGCCATAATTCAGAAGTGGAAAGGACATCATTTCACTATACACCGACCACGACCAGGTGCTCCTCRCAAGATTTCTGACAGAGGAGTGAAAAGAATTATCAGAAGAGTTGTCCAAGAGCCAAGGACCACTTGTGGAGAGCTTCAGAAAGACCTGGAATTAGCAGGTACGATTGTTTCAAAGAAAACAATAAGTAATGCACTGAACCACCATGGGCTGTATGCACGCTCACCACGCAAGACTCCACTGCTGAAGAAACAGCATGTTGAAGCTCCTTTAAAGTTTGCTGCACAACATTTAGACAAGCCTGTGTAATACTGGGAGAATATAGTCTGGTCAGATGAGAACAACACTGAACTGTTTGGATGCCAGAATACACATCATRTTTGGAGGTCAAATGGCACTGCACATCAGCCCAAAAACACCATACCAACAGTGAAGTTTGGAGGTGGGAACATCATGGTGTGGGGCTGTTTTTCAGCATATGGTACTGGCAAACTTCAAATAATTGAAGGAAGGATGAGTGGAAAAATGTACAAAGACATTCTTGATAAAAATCTGCTTCCATCTACCAGGATGATGAAGATGAAACGTGGCTGGACATTTCAGCAAGACAATGAGCCCAAACACAAAGTCAAGGAAACTCTCAGTTTGTTTCAGAGAAAGAAACTAAAGCTGCTGGAATGGCCCAGCCAATCACCTGACATGAATCCAACAGAAAATCTATGGAAAGAACTAAAGATCAGAGTTCATAGAAGAGGTCCACGAAACTTCAAGATTTGAAGACTGTTTGTGTGGAAGAATGGGCCAAAATCACACCTGAGCAATGCATGCCACTAGTTTCTCCATACAGGAGGCGTCTTGAAGCTGTCATTGACAACAAAGGCTTTTGTACAAAGTATTAGATAAATTTCAGTAAGCGTGTTCGATACTTTTCCCCTGTGCCATTCCACATTATTACAAATAACTTCATTTCTGGACATTTATGGTTTGATTTCTTTGTATGTATGGATCAGTTGTTACCAACATCTGGTGAAAATTTCATGTCATTAGCACCTCTAGTAATATATTTACTGAGAAAAATGGTGACGTGTTCAATACTTATTTTACCCGCTGTAAATGCATTTCAGATCAATCTAACTTTTGTGAATCAGGTTTTTTTTTTTTTTTTCATTTTTTAATGAAAAACTCAAGCTCACAGATACTCTGATTGAGACTCTTCCAATTACAAATTTTCACCTCCTGAAACAACTCAAGCCCAAATATTTATAAACAGCTCAAGCAAAATGTTTAATTTATCCCTATTGTCTCAACTAAATGACATTTGTATTGCAGTTCCTAACTGTGCAGATTAAAGTTTCTAAATCTATTCTTTCACAAATTTGACATGATTTGAATGACTTGCCTCTCTATTCACAAAACAACTAAAGATGATAAAAATGACTGATTACAAAAGCAAGAAAGAATGTTTTCTTTACCTGTATGTGACAGATCACACATTGTGATTGATGTGGAGCAACTCCACATCAATTCAGCACATCGGTTATGTTTGCCACCCACAGTTATAGTAGCAACACGTGCGACAGGTAATAAAAACACAAGGAACTGCTGGGAAAGTTCTGAGGTAAGTGTTTTATAGGGTGCAAACTTGCTCTTAAATGTGCCCCTACTGTGAGCAGTGGTTAGCCTGACTCCCTCATAAGAATTTCTCCCTGTTTCTCCAGGGGTTGATATTAGAGCTGCCCTCTGCAGGTAATATACTCATAAACCCATAATTACTCCACAAAACCTCACTTAACAATAACCTCTTCACCAAAGGTTTCAAATCATTTTGTTTTTGTTGCACAGTGACACCACCAAGCTGCATCCCTTTTGGTTATTCCTGCATGTCAAACAGAGCTGGCTCAATTCTGTGTCTGAAGCAGACTTTACAGAACCAGCAGGACAGCAGCTCTGCTCAGAAGCTTGACAATAAAAACACTTCATTTAGGATCTACAAACTTTAAAACATATTTTTACCTAACAAAGTACATTTTTGATTTACCATAATCCGTCAAATTGGTATGTAGAGGTCATTGATTTCAAACGAGTTTCATTTTTCCAACGTATATTATAAAATATTTTCCTTTTCTCCAGCTCGAAACTGCATCATGAAATTCATGAGCTAGATTAGGGAGAGTTATGCAGCAGCTGGCATTTTCCATTATTTACCATCTAAATTAAATCCTTACCAGATATAGTGAATACACCAGTATTCCACATTGATCACATAAATACGACTAATACTGATTTTTCTTTTTTTTCAAGCTACTAAGCCCAACGGTATCTGGTAAAACCAACAGCAGCTGCTGAGAGCAGGCATGTGACAACAGGAGAAACACAGTTAGCTGTTTACAGACACCACAGATCTACATAGGACCCAAAATACTCCACACAAACATATACATTCTTTTATGACGACATTAGTTACAAAATATAGATGTTTTATATGTTGCTATGCATGCTGATGGGTAAAATGTACACTGTACTTATGTTTTTCAGTCTTAGGATTGCTTTTTTAAAACTTCATTCAAAGAAGGATTCAGAGGCAAAAATATGCTCTTCATAATGTTAAACTGAAAATGGCAAAACTGCTTCTATTTAATCAGATTTTTGTAAGAAGAGCTATATTTTTCTAGATTAAGGCGTAGAGATTTGTCTTTTATTACACTGTGCAGAGTTAATATAAGGCAGAACACATTCTCTGGGTTATCTAAGATTTTATTATTAGGTAAGAAAACTCTCCTTTAAAACACACTCATGAAATCACACGGAATGATCACATACCCTTTTTTTGTGAAGTCGAAAGCAGTCCATATTCTCAGATCCTGCTCCAAATCTTCCACATTGCAGCCATAAAATTCAGAAAACTCCAGCGGCACTCAGTGTCTGCAGAGCTGGCTGAGCCAGCATACAGTAACCTACCACATCCTGTGTTTCCACACACACAAACACACACACGCTGCTGCTCCCTTGATGTAAGGGGGGAAATCAGTTCAGATCAGACTTTGAAGGAGATGTTTCTGCTAATTAAACTTAACTGGATTAGAAGGAAAGTTGTGCCTCCCTTTTTATGCGCCTGGAAACTTTGCCCTCATCCACGAGAGGAGAAAAGTGTGTGTGTGTGTGTTGGTGAATGCACGTGTCTGTGAGTGGGTGTTCCTTAGTGGGACAGAGCGGGGGGTGGGGGACAGCTGTTGCAGCCTAAAAACACTTGAGTGGTTTTTGCCTTAGCAGCAACATTGGTCACACAGTGGAATATGAAAAAAAGCCCAAAAAGCACAAAAATGTCAGTATAACCCAGGGAAAAAAAACATTCTGAGCGTGTTTGTGTGTGTATTATCTAATTGAGAGCCACACAACAGCTGATGTGGACGTCTGGACTCAACTGTGACAGAAAATAGAAGGTTAGCACTAACTGTCTGTTCCACATCGGTGAGTCGGATGGGAGAAAGAGGGCGAGAAAAAGGCCGACAGACAGGGATGGAGAGAAAACCCACTGAGGCCCAATGACCCAGAGAGGCTGCAAAACAACAGACATCAAAAGGCTGCAGACAAGCGTGGGGAGAGGATGTGTGTGTGTGTGTGTGTGTGTGTGTGTGTGTGTGTGTGTGTGTGTGTGTGTGTG